TAGTTTTCCTCCCCTTCCCCTATGTTCATCTGCTGTGTTTCTTAAATTCCACGAATGAAATCATACATTTGTCTTTCTCTGACTTATTCTGCTTAGCATAATACACTAGCTCCATGCACGTTGTTGCAAATGACAAGATTTCATTCTTTTTGATTGCCAAGTAATATTCCATTACACACACACACACACACACACACACACACACATATGCATATATATATTTACCACAGCTTCTTTACTTGGGCCATTTCCATACTTTTGGTATTGTCATTAGTGCTGCTATAAACATTAGGGTACATGTGCCCTTTCAAACTGGCACTCCTGTATCCTGTGGATAAATACCTAGTAATGCAATTGCTGGGTCATAGGGTAGTTCTATTTTTAATTTTTTGAGGAACTTCCACACTGTTTTCCACGGTGGCTGCAGCAGTGTGCATTCCCAGCAGCCGTGTTAAAAAGGCTCCCATCCCTCTGCATCCTTGCCAACACCCGTTGTTGCCAGAGTTGTGAATTTTAGCCATTCTGAGAGGTGTGAGGTGGTAACTCAGTGTGGTTTTGATTTGTATCTCCCTGATGATGAGTGATGTGGAGCATCTTTTCCTGTGTCTGTTAGCCACCTGGATGTCTCCTATGGAAAAATGTCTATTCATATCTTTTCCCCGTTTGTTCACTGGATTATGTTTTTTTGGGTGTTGAGTTTGGTAAGTTCTTTAGAGATTTTGGATACTAACCCTTTATCTGATATGTCATTTGCAAATATCTTCTCCCATTCCATCAGTTGCCTTTCAGTTTTGCTGATTGTTTCCTTCACTGTGCAGAAGCTTTTTATCTTGATGAGATTCTAATAGTTCATTTTTGCTTTTGTTTCCCTTACCTCTGGGGACGTGTCAGGTAAAAAGTTGCTGCAGCTGAGGTCAAGGAGGTTGTTGCCTGTTTTCTCCTCTAGGATTTTGATGGCTTCTGGTCTTACGTTTTGGTCTTTCATCCATCTTGAGTTTATTTTTGTGTACAGTGTAAGAATCTTCCAGGTTCATTCTTCTGCATATCCCTGTCCAGTATTTCCAACACCACTTGCTGAAGAGACTGTTTTTTCTCCATTGGATATTCTTTCCTGCTTTGTCAAAGATGAGTTAAACATAACATTTGTGGGTCCATTTCTGGGTTCTCTCTTCTGTTGCACTGATCTCTGTTTTTGTGCCAGTACCGTACTGTCTTGATGATTACAACTTCGTAATACAGCTTGAAGTCTGGGATTGTGATGCCTCCAGCTTTGGTTTTCTTTTCCAGGATTGCTCTGGCTATTTGGGGTCTTTTCTGGTTCCATACAAATTTGAGGACTGTTTCTTATAGTTCTGTGAAGAATGCTGGTGTTATTTTGATAGGGATTGCATTGAATTCGTAGATTGCTTTGGGTAGTATCGACATTTTAACCAAATTTATTTTTCCCATCCTTGTGCCTGGGGTGTTTTTCCTTTTTTTTTTTTTTTTTTTGGTGTCTTCTTCAATTTCTTTCATAAGCTTTTTATAGTTTTCAGTGTATAGATTTTTCACATTCTCGGTTAGGTTTATTCCTAGATATTTTATGGATGGTTTTTGGTGCAATTGTGAATTGGATCGATTCCTGGATTTCTCCTTCTGCTGCTTCATTACTGGTGTATAGGAATGCAGCCAATTTCTGTGCATTGATTTTATATCCTGCGACTTTGCTGGATTCATGTATCAGTTCTAGCAGTTTTTTGGTGGAGTCTTTCAGGTTTTCTACATAGAATATCAGGGTGTCTGTGAAGAGTGAAAGTTTGACTTCCTCCTTGCCATTTTGGATGCCTTTATTTCTTATTGTCTGAATGCTGAGACTAGGACTTCCAACACCCTGTTAAACAGCAGTGGTGGGAGTGGACGTCCCTGTCGTGTCCTGATCTCAGGGGGAAGCTCTCAGTTTTTCCCCATTGAGGATGACGTTAGCTGTGGGTCTTTCATATATGGCCTTTATAAGCTTGAGGTATGATCCTTCTATCCCTACATTCTTGAGGGTTTTTATCAAGAAAGTATGCTGTGTTTTGCCAAATGCTTTTCCTACATCTGTTGAGAAGATCTTGTGGTTCTTATTCTTTCTTTTATTAATGTGCTGTATCACAATGATTGATTTGCGGATTTTGAACAAGCCCCTTATCCCTGGTATGAATCCCACTTGATTGTGATGAGTAATTCTTGTAATGTACTGTTGGATCTGGTTGGCTAGTATCTTGTTGAGGATTTCTGCATCCATGTTCATCAGGAAAATGGGTCCGTAGTTCTCCTTTTTAGTGGGGTCTTTGGTTTTGGAATCAGGGTAATGGAATGCTGGCCTGGCAGAATGAATTTGGAAGGTTTTCCATTTCTATTTTTTGGAACAGCTTCAAAAGAATAGGTGTTTTCTCTTCCTTAAATATTTGGTAGAATTCCCCTGGAAAGCCAACCAGCCCTGGACTCTTGTTTTTTGGGGAGATTTTTGATTACTAATTCAATTTCTTTGCTGGTTATGAGTCTGTTCAAATTTTCTATTTCTTCCTGCTTCAGTTTTTGTAGTTTATATGTTTCTAGGAATTTGTCCATTTCTTCCAGATTGCTTAATTTGAGGGTATATAGATGTTCATAATATTCTTTTATTGTTTGTATTTCTGCTGTATTGGTTGTGATCTTTCCTCTTTCATTCGTGATTTTATATACTTAGGTCCTTTCCTTTTTCTTTTTGATCAGTCTGGCTAGGGGATCGATTTGGTTAATTCTTTCAAAGAACCAGCTCCTGATTTCGTTGATCTGTTCTACTGTTTTTTTGATTTTGGTATCACTGACTTTTGCTCCAATCTTTATTATTTCTCCTTTTCTGCTGGTTTTGGGCTTTACTTGCTCTTCTTTTTCTAGCCTTTTAAGGTGTGAGGTTAGGTTGTTTATCTGAGACCTTTCTTCCTTCTTCAGGAAGGCCTGGATTGCTGTATACGTCCCTCTATGACTGCTTTTGTGCCATCCCAGAGGTTTTGGGTGTGATGTTATCATTTTCATTGGCTTCCGTGTACTTTTTAATTTCCTCTTTAATTTATTGGTTAATCTCTGAATTAAAGCTTTGATCAACATGATCTTTTTTATGTATGTTAATGCTTTCTGCTTTATAGTCAATTTTGTCTGATAATAAGACACTGAAACCAATTTTTCCTTTGGTTAGAATTTGTTTGGTACATATTTTCTGTCTTTTTTATTTTCAGCTTTTTTATATCCTTATGTTTTAAATATACTGCTCATAAACAAAATATGGTTGTGTTATAAAGTTTTATATAATAACTCTCTTCTTTTAAATGTAGCATATAGTCCACATATATTCATTGTAAATACATGTGTGTCTATCATCTTATAGTACATGGTATTTCTATTTGTCCTATCTCTTCCATGTCTATTTTTCTCTCCTTTTTTGTCTTAATTTGGATCACTATGATTGATTTTTTTGGAGTGCCACTGTCCTTCTTTACTAGTTTGGAAGTTGTATACTCTATTTCTAGTCCTTTAGTTGTGACCCTAGTGATTACCAGAAGCATACATCCTTTACCAACATCTAAAGCTAATCTGACCAGAGGAATTAATGCTACATGAAAGAAATCAGTCAAGAAAGACAAACACCATACAATTTCACTCATATGTGGAATTTGAGAAACAAACAAGCAAAGAAAAAATGAGACAAAGCAAGAATAGGCTGATGGTTACTAGAGGGGATGTGGGAGGGAACAGGGGGTGAAAAGAATAGAGATTAAGAGTTCACTTATTGGGGCGCTTGGGTGGCTTAGTTGGTTAAGCATCCTATTCTTGATTTTGGCTCAGTTCATGATTTCATGGTTTGTGGAATCAAGCCCTGAGATGGGCTCCACACTGACAGTGGAGAGCCTGCGTGAGATTCTCTTTTTCTCTGCCCCACATGCACATGCTCTCTCCCTCTAAAAATAAATAAACTTAAAAAAAAAAGAGATCATTTATTGTGACGAGCACTGAGTAATGTATACAATAGTCGAATCAGTATATTGTATACCTGAAACTAATATAACACTGTATGTAACAAGAGTGAAAAAAAAAAGTTAATGTGCACAAAATTCCTTAAAAAGAATCCCAGTACAATTTAACACCATTTACATTCTCCCAACTTACGCACTGCTTTTAAAAGGTATTTTAAAAAAAAGTTTATTTTGAGACAGAGAGCAAGCACATGAGTGGGGGAAGGGCAAGAAGAAAGGGGGAGAGAGAATCCTGATGTGGGGCTTGATCTCATGCACTGTGAAATCATGACCTGAGCCCAAACAGAGTGGGACGCTTAACTGACTGAGCCAACCAGGTGCCCCCTTCAGTAGGTATTTTAACGGTTATGTTTTTCTCTTTGAAACACTTACTACTTTATTACATTTATTATTTTATCCAATGTTTGGTCAAATTTACACTCTCAGACTGTCCATCTGAGATTACTTTTGGTCTGTTGAAGTGTATTCTTTAGGATTTCCTTTAGTACAAGTCTGCTATTAACAAAATATAGACAAAGTGCTACATCCTACACACACACACACACACACACACACACACACACACACAGGCACAGAGAGGTGAACAAAGCCTGCATGTCTTCCTCCCTCATTGGCTCAATCCTGAAGCTCAAGATGTGCAAGCTTTTCCCACCTGTGTGTGTGTCTGTAGGGTGTAGCTCTTTGGGAGGCCCAGCTTTATGGGGGGAGGATCTTGTGTGAGACGACCCATCTTGAGTACGCCCTGGGATTCGTCTTCTGTTTCTGTGAGGCCACGAAAGGCAAAGCTCACCTTCACTGTGGAACCCACACAGTGTTGTCGAGATGACAGCTAGCTGCAGCTCCCTCCTTACCTTTCTGGGTTCTCATCTATATTCAGTTCCGGGTCTTAAGAACTCCTAACATTCTCACCAGTTTATTGTTATACCTAAGATTTTTTAAAGTACTTAATCCAGAACTGATGCTTGCTTTTGATAGATGGTGAGTATAGACAGAAGCCTGTGCCAGCGCTGACGTGGGAGTGTATCCGTGTGTTCCTGACAGATGCATCAGCCAGAGGAACTGGCATCATCACAAATGACATGACTATGGTATTACCTGAAACAGCAGGGTATACGCAAGTATATTTTTAATTGTTATATACTTGATTTAATTAGCTAATAATCTAGATACATTACTAATTATTAAATTAAAATTTAAATTATAATGATCTAAGTACGAAGCGTAACATTTCTCACAAAAGGTGGTCTTCCACACTTACAGTACAGCCTTTCATTGAGACGACTGAGGGACTGTAGAATCTTCTGTTCATCAGCTGACAGTGCACAAATGTTGAATGGCGGGGTTGTATTTGAAGCCACATTTGATTTCTGTAGCGGCTTGCTATTTATGACAGTGAGAATTTCATCCTCAGGCACTGAAGCTTTCACTAGGTTTTCAGCCATCAAAAACTCAGAAGTACTATCTGAAACTACAGAAATTTTACATTAATTACTCTTCAATCCTTTTTTGTGTGTGGGACCTTCTCTTAAACTTACTTAACTGACATGTGCCTGCATGGTTTCACTTCACAAACATAAACCCTCTACATCTTCTGTTACTTGGCATTTTATTTATCAGGATTATTCATATCTAGCATGTTCCCATCCCTAACTAAAACACAGAAAGTCAACGTGATGCCCGTGAGGCAATAAACATTTCTGGAACGTTATCCGAGCTAAAGGAAAAATGCATCATGTTTAGATTACGATTATTTCTGTGTTGTGTTTTTGTTATTCACTGGTAATACAAAGAGACAATGAAGGAGACTGCCTTTTTTTTTTCTCGAGAGAAAGTGAGCTAATGAGCTGAACTGAACTGACAGCTTAGAAAAAGATAGAAGAACTTAATTTATCACTGAAACATCAGAGTCTTGAAAGAAGAGAAAGATAACTCAATAAATTAATTTGTTGCTTATAAAGGAATCAATATGCAGTTTCCTATTATATCATATGTTTAAACAAAATAAAAGGAAATTAAAGGATTTAATTTAATGAATCACACCATTAAATAATCTGGATGAGAAAGAAATAAACACTTTTGAATCTCTGTACGGGAAAGATTCTTTGATCCTAAAGGTATTGGAGAAATCAAGAAGAAAAGACTAAAAACCATGTTTATATAAAAGCCAGTCTTCCCTTATAGACTTTAAATTTTTGAAGGACAAGACTTTTATATGTTTTGTTCATTACTGTGTATCCGATTCCTACTTGTATGCAGGAAATTAGCTGTTATTTATTGAAGAAAAAAAATAAAAAGGAAGACTTCTATATGTAAATATTTAAGTGGAATAAAATACAAATAATAAAGTAGTAAAAACATTTGCAACTAATATGAAGAACAGAACCCTTCATATTTTAGGAATTTGCAGAAATCAGTAAGGAAATACCCAAGCTCTGGTACCTACAGGAAATAACAGTATGAAGGACCAATTCACCAAAAGTAAACACACATACAAAACAATGAAGCATATTATTTATAAAAGGTACACAAATCAAAACTAATAAAACACAATATCTTTGCCTACCATGTAAGCAAATCATAGAAATAATTCTACCACAAGTTGGTTCACACTCCAGAAAAATTTTAAATGATATTTTTCAGGAAAATGTGTAGGGATATATATGTAGAGCTATAACAATGTTTATTCCCTCTGATTCAGTATTCATTTAATACAGAGTTTTACTCAACAAGTATTTATTGGTTGTCTACGACATGTAATTTTAACTCTGGGAATCTCCATCTTAGAGAAATGGTTGAAAAGTGGGGAAAAGGCTTCATGTAGAAAGATGTCCAGTACATGATTATTTATTAACAAATTTTTAAAAAAATGTTTTTTACTTATTTCTGAGAGAGAGAGAGAGAGAGAGGCAGCGTGAGCAGGGGAGGATCAGAGAGAGAGGGAGACACAGAATCTGAAGCAGGTTCCAGGCTCTGAGCTGTCAGCACAGAGCCCAACGCGGGGCTCGAACCTACGAACCGTGAGGTCATGACCTGAGCCGAAGTTGGACGTGTAACCGACTGAGCTCCCCAGGCGCCCCTACATGGTTATTTAGAATGAAAACCCTGGCAACAGCCTGAATGTGCAGGGCAAGGCGCTCAGACCCCACATGGTGGTTCCTCTGTCACGTATGCGCACTTGGGAAAATACGTGTAACAAAACATGAAATCACGGGGAACAAAGCTCAGAGAGAAATTTTCAAATGCGACGTACCTTCTTCAGCATCAGAAGTACCCCTTGTTTGTTTTGGCTCCCTTGAACTTAGCTGGACACTTCGTCCAAAATTCTATAAAAATATAACACGATTTCAGAACATAATTCCATACTTAAAAAATCATTATTATACATTAACAAAACCCCATATTCAGTCTATATATTTTCGGTTATCACGGCTCATGTAATCTGTGGTTTTGTTTTTCTGTTTTTAGTTTTGAGCAGAAAAAAGTAATTCCTGGGGGGGCGCCTGGGTGGCTCAGTCGGTTAAGTGTCCTACTTCGGCTCAGGTCAGGATCTCTGGCTCCTGGGTTCGAGCCCCGCGTCGGGCTCTGTGCGGACAGTGCGGCGCCTGGAGCTGCTTCCGATTCTGTCCCCCCCTCTCTGCCCCTCTTCCTCTCATGCTCTCTCTCTCTCAAGCATAAATAAAAATGAAAATTACTGGAATAAGGCCTTTCTAGGGTACCTGAACATTAAAAAAGTATTTTATGTCAATTTTGGAAAATTTTCAGGTTGCCGTGTTGTCGTCGCAGCTTGGAAGAAGCCAGGCGCTGCCCGACGGGGATCAAACGTTTCGCCGAGGCTCCCGGGCTCCCGGTTTGTGGTCGCAGGGCGGGGCGCCCGCAGGGGCTGAAGCCGACGGCCTGGCGGGAGCTCTCGGCGGTCCCGGCTCCCGGGGGGTGGGGGGGGGGCCGGAAGGACCCCGGTCTCTCCGCGGTGGCCGGGGGCGCCTCTCACACTCGCCCGCGCCCGGCTGCCCCCCCCCCCCCCCCCGCCTCAGCCTGCGCTCGGCCCCATCCCGAGAGCCCTGCGTCCACGGCCTCCCCGCAGACCGGAGGCTCCCAGCTCCGCCTTCTCTAGCTTTCACTGGTCCCCTTCCCACGGGGCGTCGTGGGCCGGGCGGATCCAGTATGAGAAGGCACTTTTCCCAGCACAGGGTGACGGGAGGGGGCGGGGGCGGGGCGGGGGAGGCGGGGGCGGGGCGGGTGGGGGCGGGGATGGGGGCGGGGCCCGCTGCAGGGACTGAACCCTCAGGTAGGCTCTTTAGTTACAAAGCAAAACAAAAAACCAAAAATCAAAACAAAACAATAGGGATGAAAAAAATTAAACTTCAAAACTTGACTTTGATTCAGGAACTTGACCTATTCTAATGTTAAGACTCTGTAAGACGTTTAAACAGCACCGTGAGTGGAAGATGTGTGTGAAGGTCGGGGGCCAGGCTTCTGGAAAGAAAATCGAAAACAGTAAGACCGAGAGCAGAGGGAGAACAGAGGACAGAATAAGACCCAGAAAAAGAAAAAGAATTTAGAGAGGACACTAATCACGAGCACTTAAAATACTTTTTTTTTTTTTTTTGGTTAAAACAACTACATATTGCTTTCGAATTTAAAATATATTAATAAAAATGAAGAAAAAATTGTTCACCTGACAGATTTTGACATGTGTGGTGTGAACCCCGTGGGGGCGCTAAAGGAAGGGGCATCACCGGATTTGTAATCGGGAAGCTGCGTCTGTGTATGAAGCGGTAAGTATATCGCGAGTGCGGCAGCTTCTTTTACACCGGACACACAACTACAGGGTTTTGTCTTGTCGTTAAGAATACTTCATGGTTGATTTTCTTCATATCAAAAATCTTATCCATATAAAAAATTAATAGTTCTTATACAAATAATAGAATCCTCAACTCATAATGCAGATATAAATTCTTTATAAGGCAATCTATTCCAGTTCTATTAAAAAATCAGAACTGCTATTTAAAGTAGAAATTCCAAGTGAAATGCTACTTACTCATCCATTTAGATGTTTTAATATTTTAAATTCAATCCTTGGATCACTTAGACCTTTAGACCTCTGTTTACTTTGCTCTCACAGAATTACCTCCACTAAAATTTAATTAATTTAATATTACTATTAAGCTTTTGACTTTGCTGAAGATCTCTATCTCAAACAGCCATATGAAACTCCTTATTCATTCGTTGTTGACTGTTAGTAGGAACAGATCTGTTATGAACTCAATGTGCCCTACAGAAAGCCTCAGTGGGAAGAGTCTTTTAATATACTATACCCCCAACAGCATCATTATCCGATGAGAAATGTACACTTTACCCTATTTTCCTTATGCCACGTCTTCCAGGAAGCTCAGATCCAAAGAGGATATTTGAACACGTGAAACTAGATTAGTCTTTATAATTAATATATTTACTTCCTCTACCCAGGGCCCAGGGCTCTACTTTACTTTTTTTTTCTTTTTTAATGTATATTTAAAAGCTTTGTTGTGAACAACATGTATGTATTCCAGAGGAGACTACAAATAACAAAACAAAAGGATGATGGTGATTTGTTAAAGTTGGTTTAAAAGCTTCATTAGTAATTGATCATATAGGCAAATTAGAATATTAGGCAAAGTCTAATACAATAAGTTCCCAGCACCGATTCCTGGGCTGTCTCATAATGACTTTGGCTATACTATTATTTATGTTGTGGTCCACAGTTTACAGCAAAACCATGGTCCTTTGAGAACATTCTGTTTTCCAAGCAATTTTTCACTAGAGAATAGATATTTTTACTAACATCGTACTCACATTCATTTGCTCATTGTACTTCTGTCCCACAGATCCAGAGTTTTGCCTTTTCTGTTCTAAAAGACGTCTCTGCTTATTTTCAACAATTCGTTTTCTTCTTACAATAGCAGAATCTTAAAACAAATACCAGCAAAATGTCAAAATTTACGAGTACAGAGTACATACGCACAAATGTCTGAGTTACCTTCAAACATCACAGAAAACACCAAGTTTCACTCACGTAGTCAGAAGACTCTTATTGAGCTCCTGCTGTATGTAATGTGCGTGGCTCGGCTACAATAATGAACTAAACAAAACCTCTGCTTCTGAGGAGGTTCTAGCTTAGACCAGTGACCTCTGAAGTGTGGTGCTGGAACACCAGGGGGATGTGTGCAACAGATCACTGCTGTGCAGGAAGAATCTACTAGAATTTCAATGTATGTATGTATGTATGTAAAGATTGTTTATTTATTTTTGAAGGAGAGAGAGACAGAATGTGAGCAGGGGAGGGGTAGAGAGAGATAGAGAAACAACCTGAAGACAGGCTCCAGGCTCTGAGCTGTCAGCACAGAGCCCGACATGAGGCTTGAACTCACTAATTGAGAAATCATGACCTGAGCTGAAGCCGGATGCTTAAATGACTGAGCCACCCAGGCATCCCTAAAATTCCAAATTAAACATATGATCTGAAAATCAGAAATTAAACTTTACTATGGTAACATATCATTGCCAGTGGAGCCCCTGTCAGTTTGCATGGTTTGTAGATGGTCATATACCGCACAGAGTAAAACAGAGCTCTCCTGGGGGAGAAGGCAGGTTCCCCACATGACAGCTTGACACCAGTATCATCCATTAGTGCTCTCTCACTTCCTGTAGTGGAACTAAGTTGTAATGTGTGCCCTGGTAAGTGGATTTGTCCCTATCTCCCGGCGTCTGAATGAGTCCTCACAAAATGGGAGAGTCTAAAAAAAGACTTTTGTAGGCTTCCATCATATGTGTGATATTTTACTATATAAGGTGAGTGGTGGGTGTATGGATATTTCTTCTTATTCTATGCTTTTATATGTCTAATCAAAAACATATTCTTAGGGACATCTGAGTGGCTCAGTGGGTTGAGCATCTGACTCAATTTCGGCTCAGGTAATGATCTCATGGTTCCTGGGATTGGGCCCGTGTTGCACTCTGTGTTGACAGTGCAGAAGCTGCTTGGGATTCCCTCTCTCTCTCCCTCACATACTCATGCTCTCTCTCCCTCTCTCTCAAAATAAAACAACTACAACCACAACCACAACCACAAAACATTCTGAGAGAGGATAGGCAGGCAAACCAAGAAACAGACTAGTATTAGGTGAGTATTTATAATTGCCCGGGCATTGTTCTAAGGGTTGCAGGCATTATTATCATCACTATTTTCACAGATAAATTAGGCACAGGAAAGGAAAACTAGCTTTCCTAAGGTCACAAAGTCAGTAAAGGGCAAAGTTGAATTTACCTCCAAGCAGTCTCTAAAGTCTAAATTCTAGCTCTTACCTTCTATGTTAGTAACTTTCATTCTGATTTGACTGTGTCTCACAGAATCCAGGATGCACATACAGTTCTTTGAAACATACTTACCTTTGTAATATAGGATGCCTTCTGGTAGTTTCTATTCTAGAACATTCTGATCTAAAATTACATTTCATTAAAAAAATTCTGATCACCACTCATTGAGTTCATAATCCATTAATACGTCACATCTTATATTTCTCTGTTATTGCTCTGTTATTATTTTTATTCCCACTCACATGGGTAAGCTAAATGCTAAATATGCAAAGCTAGGTATGCTAAATGCTATGGTTTCTAGTGAGATCATCTGGGCATCAATACGAGTTTCTATACTGTTTCCTATGCTTAAAAGTGTCTTTCTCTAAATCTTGGAAAGTCCCTATCTTTCCATTTTTGAAGAGTTTAAAAAATGCTTTAAATGAGGGGTGCTTGGGTGGATCGGTGGGTTAAAAAACTGACTCTTGATTTGGACTCACAGTCATGGGATTGAGCCCCATGTCAGTCTCCTGACTGACTGTGGAGCCTGCTTGGTGCTGACTCTCTCTCTCTCTCTCTCTCTCTCTCTCCCCCCCGGTTGTGCTCTCGCTCTCTCTCAAATAAAAATGAAATAAAAAATACTTTAAATGAAAATTTCCTTGGCCACATGACTCCTTTCTGAAGAATTTTTCCTTTGCTTCAGCCTGTTTGTAAATCTCTTGGAGTCAAGATTTGCCTACACTTTTGTACTCTGTTGATTTCTAGCATAATTATTTGTTTTTGAGCTTTATTATTCTTTGTGTAGATGTTCAGTTTTGTGGATTGTAAATTAGTGATCCCAGGGACAGATAGAGCATATGCTTAAAACTATTTATGAATGGTTCTATTCACATGCATGCAGTTAAATATTACATAATAATTAATATAATAACTGAGAACCTTGGGATATTTGCAAAAAAATATAGTTTGCATTGGCACGTCTGGCCAAATTTCTAGTCTCATATGAAAATTCTATGTGTAAGAGTTTTACTACCAAAACTCAAAGCTACTAAGCATTAATTATTACATATTTAAAATGTATAGTATTCTTAAGTATAAACACAGAATGATAGCTTTGGAAGAGCTCGTGGAAATCCACAGCCCAAACATTCACTCAGATCTGACTTTTTTGTGGGAAGACAGGGCGCCGATGGCTTAGTAATGGGGAGGCCCCCCCACCCCGCAGTGGTGGTGGTTTTAACTCAAACTTTTCCTTGCACTGAGCTGAAAACATCCTTGCAATTTTTACCCCTCATTTAGTTGTTTTCTCTTTCTTTCATATAATAACCTTCAATAATATACACAGCTACAATGTCTCTTAAGCTGGTGTTCTTTTATTGCTCTTCAGATCCAACCCCTCCTTCCAGAGGGGTCACCGCGGTTTGTTTATACAGCCAGCAAAATATACAGACAAAATACAAAATAATGTTGAGGGCAGCAGTACTTCTGAAGATGGGTTTATTGTTGCCTCAAATTATATTACATTTTTAACAGCTATAGGAAACTCTTTTGGGGTGGGGGTTCTCTTTTAATGAACAATGTCAAGACAGAGATCTTTTTCTTGGAACTGTAATAAAAAAATCTGTAAAAAAAACGAATTACATACAAACAAGGTGCAAAGGAAGAGGCCACATTTAACTGAACTTTTATTCATCAAGAAGAATGAAAGTACAAATCACAAGCTGGCAGAAAATTGATGCCACAAGCTGGCATAAACTGACACAGAATCCTGGAGTATATGCAGAACTCGATCACTAAGGAAAAACCACAGGAGCAGGTATCTCGCAGGAGAGGAAAGGCAGACGCTACACAAACACAGGACAGTGCCCCCTTCATTCGTAAACTGGGCAGTGCGAGTTGTTTTTTTATTTTTTATTTTTTTTTTTTTACAAATAGTTTATTGTCAGCGGGTTGTTCTAAGTAGACATTCTGTCTCACCCACAAGACTGAAAAAAGTAACAAGTCTGACCGTCAGTTTTGATGAACACAGAAAGAAAAGGTGACTTTCATATATGGCTCCAGAAGATAAACTAGCACCGAGTGAAGTGAAAAATAAACATAACCTGTGACCCAGCCACATGTGTGCCAGCAGACATACCAAACTCTTCCCAGAAGCATTACTGATTCAAGCAACAAACTGGAAGCAATCCCAAAGCCCAAGGACAGAAGAATGAAGAACATCTGCACATTCATATAATGAAAAGTAATAATTCATATAATGAAAAGTAACACGAATCAAGTACAGCTAAACTAATAATAATGAATCTAAAAAATAAAATTTGAAAATAGCAAATCACAGAATGTAGATGAAATGGCTTCATTTATATAAATTACAGAACTAGGCAAAACTAAGTATGTTGAGATAAATTTATATGTGGTAAAATGATAAAGAAAAGCATGGAAGGGAGGTGCTGGGGTGGCTCAGTCGGTTCAGAGTCCAATCATCATCAGGTCATCAGGTCATGATCTCACAGTTCATGAGTTCAAGCACCGCATTGGGCTCTGTTGCTGACAGCTCAGAGCCTGGAGCCTGCTTCAGATTCTGTGTCTCCCTCTCTACCTGCCCCTTCCCTGCTTACCCTCTGCCTCTCTCAAAAATAAACAAACAAACAAAAAAAAGCGTGGAACAATTAACACTGTCCTATATGGTGGTCTCATCTGTAAGAGGAAGGAGACACAGCTGGGAAGGGGTATATGAGATCTCAGCAATACCAGTACGTTTCTGTTTCCAAAACTGGGTAGTGGGTACAGAGTTCTTCTTTTATTATTAATCTTTACTTTGTTCTTCTATATATTTCTTTTTTATACATTTCGAAGATATATTTCACAATAAAAAACTTTAAAAAGTACATTGCAAAAACACTTTACAGTTATCTCTGCTAAACTCAACTTTACTACTTTGGTTTATCATTTCAGTTAGAAAAGATGATGTGAACCTCAACTCCATCTTCTATTTTATTAATGACTTCCTTTGTTACTGTATTTCTACAAATTGTATTGATCAATGTACTTAAAAAAAAAAAAACTACCAGGGCACCTGGGTGGCTGAGTTGGCTGGGCCTCTGACTTTGGCTCAGGTCATGATCTCACGGTTCATGGATTCGAGCCCCATGTTGGGCTCTGTGCTGACAGCTCAGAGCCTAGAGGCTGCTTTGGATTCTGTGTCTCCCTCTCTCTCTGCCAATCCCCTCTCTCAAAAATAAATAAACATTAAAAACATTTTTTAATGTATATCACTGAAAAAACTATGGTCATTCAGTTCTAACAAGTTAGGTAAATTAATTTCTATTTTCTGAGACTTCTAGGGAAGATCTCAGGGCAGGGGGACCTGAGGCGCACCTCGCTAGTCCCCCGGATACAACTAATGAACATTCACATCAGCAGCAATAACTCGGAAAATGACCTGAAGACAGGTGGGAGTCTCTCCACAGTTGACTGTGGAGAAGAGGCCACATGGGGGAGGGCAGGAAGGGCAGAGATGCGTGGGGAGCTAAACGGGACAGCCAGGTGCCCCTGGGAGGGAGGGACTCATGGGCTCAGACGGGGAGAGAAACAGACACCTACCGGGGGACCC